CCTGTCCTGTCACCATAGAGGCTGAACGGACTGTACCATGGTATTTTCTCTAGAGGAGGGTTACATGAGGACTTTGCCTTCATTGGACTTGAGACTCACCTGAGAAACAGGTGTCTCACTCAGCCCCAGTTTGATTGTACAGGTGGTTGCCTGAACCATTTTAACCCATTAATTGGAAAAGGTTGAAAGGGATGAATAGTTGAGGATTACAGGGATTAAGATGAATATTACAGATTATTTTAAATGCTCTCATCTGTTGGTGTTAAATATATTTTAACTTAGTTCTATGACCTTTAAATTGCTAACAGACAGCGTCCTATATATTTTTGTGTCCACCCCCCTGTATGTGGTAAAGTAGAGTAGGCCATTCACTGACCAGTCACAGAGGAGGGGGAGGAGTTAGGGGAGTTATCTGGTCATCTTGAGGAGATACCACAGGGACAAGTGATACATACACTGTTAGAAACACATACAGCAGACACCACTTGCCACCGGATGAACATACACCCACAGACATGCACAATGGAGTGTTTAGAAAGACAGACTACAAACACTATACACACTTTCTCTCCTCTACGAAACAAAAGCTAGGTAGATGTGTACTTTCACATCTGAGGAACACACACACATTAGGTATTGATTCATAGATTAAAACACAAACACACCCACAAATGCAAACAGCACAGGTAGGATCCGTGCTGTTGCACTCGGAGGCTTTGTGGTTTACTAGTAAGCTGTAGTGCCAGAGAGGGGGATGGCACTGCTCACATCTGCTGAGGACGATCTGGAATACTGCTACCAGGAAGATGAGGAATTTGTTTGTCTGCCCAGTAATGGAAGCACAGAGCAGGAGAGAGAAGAAGAGGATGTGGAAGAGGAACAGGAGTATGTCTGTCTTCCCAGTCATGAAAGTACACAGCAGGAGGAGGAAGAGGAGATGGATGAAGAACAACAAGTTCTGTGTGAAGGTAGTACGTGGTTATCTTCGTAACTGAGGGCATCATCTCTGATGTGCATGTCTTCTTGGTTCTCACTAGTTTGCCTTGCTCAGTGTGTCTGACCTTTGTTGTAGCGTCATTCAGTCTTTATTCATATGTTCTGAAGTGATGTGGATTCTGAGGAGAGATTATTAGAAACCTGTGTAACCTTTTTGAAGGTTATCATGTCTCTATATGTCTGTGGCTCTATCCTGCAGGTGCAGTCCTTCATGTTAGTGTTGTATCTGGTCTCAGCACAGTGTGGTTAATCTACCTGCTGATTTGACAAGTTCAAATATGGGCTTGGCTCTTTATTCCAGCTTGCGTGTTAAGTGCAAGCATGCTACAGTTGTAACGGTGTTTAAAAATGCACAAATATTGAGTAACCAACCTGAAGTTTTTTGCAGACATAATGTGAGTGTATACATAAACTAATGTGTAATTTCCTTGCAGGGATGGAAAACTCTCTGTGATTTGATTAACTGAAAGTAAACTGCTAAAGTGAGCTTTTATCACAAAATATGCATGGATACAAGAGAAATTCATAAAAAAAAAACAACAACCATGATTGTTCACTTTGTGTGCTGTGTATGAGAGTGTATGATGTATTTGGGGCAGAGCATGAGAGTCATGTCTCCACGTACTGTGGCACAAACATGTTTTTATTGGGGCAATTGAGATGAATATCATCCCAAGTCCAATAAGGAAACTGTACTCAAGATATACAATACATTATAACATTTCTACACAGGTTGTGTTTGGGGAAATGATTAGGCGTATCAAGGGCCCCTTTTACCTTTCAATCAGTTGTCTTAGTGTTTGTTTGTTGTCCTCGAACCTGCGTGTTATCTGTTGCCCAGTAGCAGCCAGGATTATTAGGCTGTCTGTAACTCCAGACTTCTGGCTCCCTCAGCCCCCCTGCTGCAAAGCAGACAGACTGAAAACCAGGAGTCTGCTAATAGGTTCATACTGAGCTTTAATTACATTTCAACTCAAAACTCTGAGTCACCATTTCAGAGATCTGATCTGAGGGAGGTTACCTGTATACAATTTTTACATAGAACCTGTGGTGAACTTGGTGGGTGCAGGTGAAAATAAGACTCAAACATTTTTCTCTCATTAATCCTCCGCCTGACAAAGACGGAGAGGGAGCATCTGTCTAAAGTTACCCACTCTCAGTATAAAACACAAAAAAAAAACATCCAGATCACCTTCCAGTGTTAGGTTACGTTTCCTCCTACTGGTTACACTTGTTTTTCCTTCACCACCCATTTATGACTAAATACAGTAGATTAATAAAGTAATCATTAAAAAATTTAACCTAGTCCTCCAATATCACTGAAAGAGCAGGAAATTCTTATATTTTTCTTGGTTAATGTTATTACACAAAGTGTACACAGTTTCTGGAATGTTATATTTGGTGTTGAGTAGCTGTCTGCTAATGATTTCAGACATGTTGTCATTTCTAGTCAACCTTGTCTGTGTTTCCACAACCTTAATGCTTACTTTACATAGTGGTAAGAGTGAGCTTAATTCACCTTAATTGTCTGACTGGGGTCGAGTGTTACCATGGAAATAAACCAGCATGTTCTTCAGTACAAAGCAAACACACATACAGAATGAATGACTGCTCAACAGGTTGCACCTTGTGCTATCAAGTGTACAATCTCATTATAGGCCAGATAGCAGATACAAGTGATGCATTTTTTTGTGTGTGCGCACACTCACATACGTGTGTTTTCTGGTGATCGTCATGCTGAACTGTTCCCACAGTAACACTCTGTGCCTTAACAACTACACCCAGGAGAGATGATTGTGTGTGGGGGTGTTTTTTTTTTTTCACGTTCAGGTCTGTGTGTCTGTTTCACACTTGTATCAGATAATTTTTGATTATAATCCAAATGTGGGAAAGTGGGAAATAGACCTTGCCTTGTATGATCAAAGTCTTGACTAGACTAGACTATGAAAACTGAATCTTTTGTTTTTAGCCATGCTAGTGGTGTAGCTTTATGGTTGACTATGTCAGTCAGTTCACCACTTTGGATAGATGGCAAATCTTAGCCTGCTAGCAGACTATGCTGAGTATAACTATATTCACTATGGTAACATGCATAAAAAGCAGCATGTTAGTATTCTCATTGTGAGCATGTTAGCATGCTGACGTTAGCATTGTGTGATTTCTACATAAAGCGGAAATGGTTTAAATCCCAAACCACCTAGGAAACCTTAGAGTGAGAATGAATGACGGACATATTGAGATGCCCTTAATTAATCAGACAAAATGCCTCTGTGAAACTGTTCTGGGACTTGTGACATGCTCATTCCACCTTGTCTGGTTAGAAAAGTGCATCTTATTTAATAATAGATGATAATAATGGAAAATATCCTAAACTGAAACATCGTCCGCTGAGGCCTTGTGTCTTTGTTTTCAATAGCCACACACTGCCTGTGTGTTGTATGAGGATATGAAAATATGCTGTTTGCATTGGCCAACTCCGTTTTGCATTCTGAGGCCTCTGAGTTGGCAGTATTGTGTATGTACTTGTCATGATGTTTGTGCTGCTAATCTGGAGTAAAATTTTGTTTCTTTGGAAACTGAAACAGATAAATTGTTCCATGTTGTAATGGCATATATCGTATTATCTCGCTGTGCCTTCCGGCCCCATATGACACATTTATGTTGGCCATTACACCTCCCAGACAGTGTAACATCACAGACCTTCTCTCTCCAACTGACAGTGTTGAAAGCGACTTACAAGACTGTCCAAAAATAAACATTGTTATACTCTGATATCCTCACCAAGACATTTTATTACACTGTTGATTATTATGATTATGAACACTGTGTGATTGTAACTTCAGAAAATCTCAAACAAATTCTGCAACAAATGACCTAATGATTCAAGGCCCACAATAAAAATCAATTTTGGGAACCAACTACTCTCAAGGAGCAGAGAAAATAGTTTGGGTGTTTTTGTTTTGAATTTCCCTTATGGGTATTTCACCACAGGCAGGGGGTCATATTGTTGAATGTGACGTATTCTGTTTGAATTTTCACCTCTGAGGTGAATAATACTGTCACTCTGGACTGAAAACAGATTGCCAAGTAAAGTCAGAGCTTTGTGTGAGGACGGAAGGAGCTAACAATGAACTTGTTCTCTTGTAGTTGAAATAGTGCTGTGGTGTGGCCCTTCACATTGACTATTTGTGTCTGCAGTCAATTTCTTAACTTAATAGTTAATAACTGAATAGTGGACCTGTATGTCTTTTAAGGCGTGTATGGGTGTGCTATGTGAGTGTGAATGTGAATGTCTTCAAGTATACTGTAACATGATTCATTCATGAACTGAAAACTAGAAAAGAGTGAAGAGGAAAGGAGACAACAGAGGGAGCGGTGGATCATTGTCACCATTACATACTCACAGTATATTAGAAACACTGAGAATCTTGTATAATATAGAGTTAGGTTATCAGGAATTAACAATAACTTGACTACTGCAGTCTACCTAATTTATATCAATGAGCCATGAACTGAACATTACAACCTTTATATGTAGGATTTATTGCAGGACTGTTGTGTTAGACTGCTTTAGTTTTAGCTGACTTTTAGGCAGGTACATTCAGTCGTTGTGAATAGAAAATTTTAGTTTAATTTGTGACAATTATTCATGCTCTTTTTATTTTTTACTTTTTTTTAATGTTTTCTAAAAAAAAAAACTCTACAAATAAGTTATGTCTGTAAAATATTGTTGCCCACAGACAGCACATGTAGCATATTCTAACTAACATATTCTCAGTCACCTACAGTCAAAAACTTCCAGAGGAGTGCAATCACATGGTATTAAAAACTTTAAGGGAGGGCTGAACTGTAATGTTGGCATGAATGTTATATGATCACAAATTTAAAACATGGTTTACTATTGTTATTTATCATTCAGTGCTCTGACTGTACTGTACAGTATCTTTTGGGGGTATTTTCTGTGGAGATTAAAGACAATTTTTTCTTTCTCTCTCTCTGTGCAGTGTTGTGTGCTGACAGAGTGGGCCAGATGACGAAGACCTACAGCGACATTGATGCTGTCACTCGACTCCTTGAAGAGGTAAGATCATGTCAAGTAACATCAGTTAAAGTAGAAGAACATGAAGCACTACAGTGAAGGCAGACACACTGTGAGTCACTTTGGTCAAATGTTATGACGTGGTCTGATAGTCTAAACACTGGTTGCTTTATGAGGTTTATGATAAAGGAAGGTTGATAGAATGACATCATTAAACTTGTTTCCACCAGCTGATATTCAAATCTAACTTCACATTCACATCAGCTGCTTAGTGAACATGAGAATGACATGTAGCAGGACATTTCCAGTGAGAAGCTTGGCCGACTTCCTCTTCATATATTAAAACCTGTGAAGGTAGAAAGGAGTCATTGTTAAATGAACCATCAAATTCAACAGCCAGCCATCCAATATTGACTAAACATGGTAACATGGTAGTCACAGTTGTCACCTTGTACGAGCTCATTGTATTGATCTGTTGTGAACAGTTTGGTTGACAATGCAGTAATATTCACTATTCAGGATTAGAGTTAGGGTTACACCACGTTTGTCCTGTTGTTTCATTAATTCTCTGTTCTACCTATTTCTGCCTTGTTGAGGTATTTGAGTCAACCTTCACATTTTAAACCTGCTTCTGCTTCTGTCGTGCTTCGTGTTTTTCACATATATATATATATAAGCTCTGCCAGCATTTTAAAGAAACAGTTTGACGTTTTGGGTCACTTATTTGCTTTCTTGCAGATTGATACCACTCTCATGTCTGTCAGCAGCCAGTTAACTGAGCTAAGAATAAATACTGGAAACGGGGAAATGGTTAAATATCCTCATCTAACTCATAGCAAGAAAGGGAATAAGCATGTTTTCCCAAAATGTTGAATTAGTCCTTTAATTTGTAATGTTTTCAACTATTGTGCTTTGGCTCTGTGCAGAAAGAGCGTGACTTGGAGTTGGCGGCTCGCATCGGACAGTCGCTGCTGAAGAAAAACAAAGCCCTCAGCGAGAGAAACGAACTGCTGGAAGAGCAAGTAGAGCACATCCGAGAGGAGGTACACAGTGACGGTGTTTGTGTGTATGTGTGTATTTCTGTATTTGCATGTGATCAAATGTGACAGAGTTTGGAAAATGTCTTTTATATACTGTACATATTAATAAATTACGTGTAAGAGTTTGGAGCAGTATGACATCACCACTGTAGCCATGTCCTCTTTTACTTCAAGTATCCTCCATCTGCATGTCTCCTTCTGTTTTTCCACATACAGGTTTCTCAGCTGCGTCATGATCTGTCCATGAAAGATGAGCTGTTACAGTTCTATACCAGCGCTGCCGAGGAAAGTGAGGGAGAGTCCACCACCTCCACACCGTACGTCCCCTTTCAGTCACCTCCTCTCCTCACCTTTCATCACCTTCCATCACCTGTCCTCTTCTCTCTCTCAACACTATTCAGATCTAATGAAAACAAAAACAAAAACCATTCTCCTCTGAGGCTTTGATGAGCTATGTAAGGTGTGTGAGAATGTCCCAGTAACTTCAGACAGCTGAGTTATTTATAACATGAGTTTTCATTGTCCCTCTAGTGAATCTCTTCAGAACCTAAATCTGTGAAAATGCTGCAGGTTTTTTACCAATGTGTCTGTGTGCAAAACGTGACCCTGAGGTAAAACTAATTCAAACTCTCACATGTATATCTGTGTGTGTTTTCAGTGTGCGTCCAAGTGAACCCAGTGTGTCAACGCCTACTTTTTTCCCCCTGGACTCCCTGCAGAAGAAACTCAAAGATCTGGAGGAAGAAAACAAATCATTGCGATCTGAGGTACACATACACAAGCTGCTGCAAACACACAATATTTTTATAAATGGTTGACACAACACTAAATATTCATGCAATGGTCTCACAAGGATCCTGCAGTCTGTTTAATTTAGTATATTGGCAGCAATACTATTTTTCTTCATTAGAAAGTCTACCAGTCAGCACTTCTGCTTATATTTAGGAGAAGTTATTGACTAGGGTGATGAATTTCTACAGTGTGTGGTATTGATCGGTAATGTCTGTTTATTTTTTGTCCAGGCCAGTCATTTGGAGACAGAAACTATCTCCTACGAGGAGAAAGAACAGCAACTTGTCAATGACTGTGTCAAAGAACTACGTGAGTATTTCACTAACTGTCATCATATTAGGAACTGAAGTGATATGAATCTCTTCCTCACTCTCTAAAGGCAGTGAGGCAAGAAGGAGGCAGCTTTACTTTCATTGAGCACCTGTTCTTGTTCCCAGGTGATGCCAACCTGCAGATTTCCTCCCTGGCTGAAGAACTGGCCAGGAAGACTGAAGATGCCTCCAGGCAGCAGGAGGAGATCACACACCTCCTCTCCCAGATAGTAGACCTCCAGAAGAAGGCCAAGCTGGTACGAATGAATATGTGGTTCTCTTAATATGTGAAGAATATGTAGCATTAGTAGTTTGTATTTATTTCATTTATGCATGAGAATTCATATTGTTGGTTTAGTATTTTTCATACCTGTTGTTGTCGTCTTTTCTGTCTGGGTTGTGTACAGTATGCTGTGGAGAACGAGGAGCTGACTCAGCACTTAGGAGCAGCCAAAGATGCCCAGCGACAACTCACTGCTGAGGTAAGACAATCTACAATCCAGTGACCGTGGCCTCATTGTAGTTTCTGCAGCAGCAGCAGGACACATTGATAGAAAGCCTCCTGCAATAAAAAGGGGGGATATGTAATACTAAATTCAATATTGATATAACCTGGAAGTCTTTTTGCAGCGATGCTTTGCACATTTCTCCAGAACCTGTGTCTATATCAAATGTCCCATATCTGGTCATCAGCGGTACCTAAATAATTGTTCCGTTTCATTAACTAATTTATTTGTTCTCATTATTTTACCTGTCTTTACCTGTCTCACCTGCTTTTTCCTTTCGCCTCCTTCAGTTGCGGGAGTTCCAAGACAAGTATGCAGAGTGTATGGAGATGCTTCATGAAGCTCAGGAAGAACTGAAGAACCTGAGAAATAAAACTCTACCACTGAGCACACCGAGGCGTTTCCACTCTCTGGGCTTGTTCCCGATGGTGAGTCAGGGAGCAGAGGGTTGGGGAGGGATGGGCAATAAAAGAGGGGGTTATCATTATCCTTTAACCAACTTAACTATACTTTGGTCTTTGTTTTGTCATTATAAATTTACCACATTAAACCTATGAACCAAAACTTGAGCTAGATATCCACAGTGAATTTTACCAGTGCTGTCATTTATTAACATACATATCTGATTTAGGTCCCTAGTAGATTAATAACAAACTTTTTCCTTCTTCTCCAGGACTCTCTGGCAGCAGAAATAGAGGGCACCATGAGGAAGGAACTTCAGATGGATGATCCAGATGTAGAAGAGCAGAGGTACATCCAATGTTAAAACCTGATTCACCTTAAAAAGAAAACATAGATCAAGATTAGAGGGTTATTAATGAATTGGTCAACATCATAATATAATATTCATCCATCAATTTGATATTCATGTCATCATGTCTCTCCAGACTGCACCCAAAGCGAGTGTTCCAGACGGTGAAAAACCTCAACCTGATGCGTCAGCAGCGTTCATCGTTAGCCCCCTCCCCTCTCAACATCCCAGGCTCCAATCAGACGTCATGCTTCACCTCAGGGCGCTCTAGCAGGATGGGCACGCCTCGCTCTGACTCCATTTATGGTAGTGAAACCGGAGGTGGGATCATCCTTGACAACAGGACCAGCAGTATCCTGGAGTGTCCAGACGATGGGTATGGACATTTTAGATTTATATTATTTATTATTTTATTACTTATCTAATTTTCACTTATTTTAGTTGAATTTTTTCCATTTATTTCCAGTTTCTCCCTCTTAGTCCTAAGTAACTAAGGGGGTGCCGCTCTCTCTATCAGCTCTTGATTTATTTGTGTATGTTGGTAACCTTGGTGTGAGTTGGTGTGTTTCTGTTAGGATTTCTGTCAGGCAGAAGTTACTGTGAACCAAGTACGTAATCCTAATTTTTCGATTTCAGTCATTAGCTCTTGCCTTTTTATTATCTACCACCACAGAATCCAACTGAGCTGTGCAAAGTAAAATGGAGAGATAGACATACTACTTTTAAAACTCTTCACTGAAATTTAACTCAACTATGTCTCTTGTTTTAGGTCAGAGGACTCTAACAAGCGGCCCCCTGGCACCCCAGGGACCCCGGGCAGCAGGGACCTGGAGGCAGCCCTTCGACGTCTGTCCCTCCGTCGCGACAACTACCTCTCAGAGAAACGCTTTTTTGAGGAAGAGAGGGAGAGAAAGCTGGCTTACCTGGCCAAAGAGGAGGAAAAAGGAGGTGGGGAGGGCAGCGGAGGCCCAGGGACCCCAACTGAAAGCCTGTTGTCACTGTGCTCGCATCCCTCCTTAGGAAGTGTCTGGTCGGGATACTCCTTCACGTCAAGATCCTACCTGCCGGAGAAGCTGCAGATTGTAAAGCCGCTAGAAGGTGATTATTCCTCTCAGAGTCACAGAGCCTCTAGTTCTTCGTATCAGGAAAAAGAGAATCACAGTGTTCAGAAAGCCTTGCACAATGAACAGAATCAAACCCAAAAGGTGGCACAAAATTCAAATCGTGTCCTTCTACATCCTCCCCAAAGTTACACCCAGATTTCTCAAAGCCAAACACACAACCAAGGTCAAGCCCTTCAGAACCAGCAACAGAATCAATATCAGATTCTCCATAACCGCAGTCAGTCCAAAATCTTTCTGAGTGCCTCACAGGATCCTGAGATCCTGCGGAGGAGCTCTACTTTGCTGGAGCTGAGCAGCCTGCCGAGCTCGCAGCCTCACCTCAGAGACCCACTGGCGTTAGTCACAGGCCTGCTGGAGGTGTTGGAACAACAGGAAGGCAGTTTTAACCTCCAGCACTCTTTTTACTTCAGACATACACAGCCGCGCTGCTGGTTTGAGATATAGACTAAGAGTAATACTTACTTTTTAAAAATTCAACGGGTGTGAAAGTATATATCATACCATAAAGAGGTTAAAATACATTAATGTGAGTTAGAGTTAGAGTTAGATGTTAGCTGAAAACATTGTTTGAAAGAACAATGCATGTTTCCTGGTGTTGCATTTATGGCAAATACATCACAAAAGATGAGCACTTTACACTGCATTTGCAATAGGTGAGTCAGTATATGATGTTTTAAATGGCACTTACTGTATTCATAGTTTTTCTTGTGCCTTGTTTTTTAATAGAGGACCTTTCTTATCCTATCATTATTTATTTCCATAGTTTATTGGTTGTAGGGTTTGTATAGTTGGATATTTGATATATTTACTGTCAAATATTTATCCACACAATGATGCCTTTATGGATACAGAGCAACTGAAAGCAGTAAAGATAAAAAAAACTCTCTTCCCATAACCTTACATTGTTAGGTTGGCCAAAAAGCAATTACAGCCTTAAACCTGAAGATATTTTCTTAACTTGCATATGTGCAAAATGTAGTTTTGTGTCACCACCTAGTGTTCAAACAGCATTACAACACTTAAGTTGTAATGTTGTGAAAGGTGATGTCTAAACACCAGTTAATGTGCTTAAAGTGAGACAAATTATTGATTTTGGAGTAATTATACACATGATCAATCTGGCTGCTGTCAGATTACAATCTTGTGACCCTTAAAAGTCAACAGTCCAGAATTAAGTAAAAAATAAACTAATAGTCTGGGTTTTGGGAGGTTATGAGATCATGAACTCTACTAAAGAGATGAGACAGTACTCTTTGTGTACAAACACCAATCCACAGGTTTCTAATTCTACATTAGAAACGTATAACTGTCTTTACTGTCCACCCCTTTCACCCCTCTTTTGTCCACTTTTTTCTTTTCTTCATTTGGGGTTTGTCTTTTCTTTGCTCTTTACTTGTTTTTCTGTTCAACTTGTCTGTTTTTCTTTGTTGATGACTTTCTTGAATAAAATCTTACTAATTTTCTCATCTTCCTTTTTCTCTCTCATTCTTTTTGTGTTGGTCTTATGAGTTTGTGTACTGACATCTCTGAAGAGACCTGTGTGCATGATTTGAGAAATCAACCATCATTGGACCTGAAATGAAACCAGTTTATTAGGTTCAAGGACACTTAAGTAAGACAGTGCCTTGTACTGCATGAAGAAATATTGTGAAGCTGATGTGATTCAGGTTGTATAGCTATAATAAGTTCAGTGAAGCAAATCTGCGACGTCTCCTGATGTTGTGGAAGTGCAGTCAAACAAGCACTATATAAGTCATTCATTTACTCTTTAACAATTTAAAAAAGAAAACATTGGTGTGGAAGTGCCTCAGATACTTATATTATTCTCAAATTAAGTTGTAATATTTCATATTATCCCCATTTGAAGATTAATTCAGTTAACAGTTTTCATGTTTATTATAACACTGCTGAAGTTTACTTAAAATCACGATGAACTTGAAAGCATGGCATTGGAATTGTGAGAATATCTGGCATTTTTTATAGTTGTTAACAGACTGGTATAAATGGCTTAATTTTAAAAAAGAAAAAAAGCTGATTTGATCACAGTTCAAATGGAAATGTATTAATTTGATGATATGTGTTTGTGGTAGAGAGCAGCTTAACATGGATTTAGATAACATCCGCTTTTCCTCTCACCTTTTCCAGGCTCTGCTACACTCCATGCATGGCAGCAGTTGGCTCAGCCCCACATGGGCGCTCTGCTGGATCATCGGCCTGGTGTGGTCACGAAGGGCTTCCGCACTTTAGCACATGAGCAGGGACAGGAAGACAGCTGGCAGCTGGACCAACCAGAGGAGGATGAAGTGTCATGTGACTCATTTACTGGCTTGTCAGAAGAAAGTACTGCTCCTTTGGATCTGCCGCGCTCTACCTCTACTCCCTCTGTCTGCTGCAACAAAAATGGCGACATCGATGACAACAGCCAAATGGAAACATTTGACGGAGAAACGTGTGGGGCTAAAGAAGCAATTCAAGGAAAAGACGGACTTGTTGGAAACACGCCCCTTTCCTTATCCAGCCTCTCCCCCTCCTCTTCTCCTCTCCCCTCTTCTTCTGAGATGATGATGAATGGGCACGTGGACCTCAAAGAGCTCCAGGCCTTACAGCCTGCCACAGTGGATCGCATGCCTGGTGAGGGAGCCTCTTAGCTGGGGTCACAGCACTGCATCCACCCTCCCTTGTAACCCCTGGAGCATGGGGATAAAGGGGAGGTTGTTTTTAAAGAGGAGGGGTGGGAGGGTGAGGGATTGGGGAAGGCATTCATTGGACATTTCACGATCCCAATGTGATGTCCTTTTCTGCCGGTTTGCGCTCATCTGTACACACCCAACACCCACCTATCCCATTGGCAGTTCGTGTGTATGCAGCCATCGAACCCCATCAAAACTGAGTACTTGTTTTTTTGTTCTTAATTTTACTTCAACTTACATCCTCATAATCTTCATACTTTCTTTCACTGCCACTCATTGCTTTATTTCAACCAATCACACTTAATTTTCAATCTTTCAATCAAATCTTCCCAATTCTGGGAGTTTGGGTGTCATTCGCAATACCACTGGTCTCAGTGGTGACCTGCAGCACACATTTGTTATGGCATAATTTGTTGAAATCACAGTTGGAAGATAGCTCATGAACTTGATGCCAAGCCATAAGGCTTTATTCAGTTTCTTCTGACAGTCTGGACTCACAATAAAACACCCGTGTGCCACACAAGTACATGGATGCAGAAATATCATGGCTGAAGTCACATATGTGCATGTGTCTATATCAGGCGTTATGAGCGCAGCTGTCCAAGTCACATGAACACATGACACCCACGCCTGGTTAATATTGGAGTTGACTTAGTGGCTTTGCTGTAGGGTCACCCTCCTGCACACACAGTACTCTTCCTTGGCACATGTATTACTGTACTGTGTTCCTATAAACTAAGGAATGCCCAAACAGAAAAAAACAAAACTCAATACAATACACTTGATTTGGGAAATCATGCCACATGCATCAGACCAATCAGTGTATATCACACGATTATTCTCTTCTCCAGGGGAAGTATTGATTACATGGTTGTTCTTGGCTAAATTCATATCTAAAATACAGAGCCAACATTTTGGAACAATAAAGATGTAAAGTAATTTTGCTTTCAGCAACAATAACCATTAACATCATTAAAAAAGCATAAAGCTTCATGTATAATGAATAGTGCCCAAAACATTTCTTTACTGACAAATAATGGAGGTGAATTAATGGTGAAATATCTAAGGGTTTACTTTGTGGATATTCAGTAATCTCCTTTAATGACTGCAGTGAATTCTATGAAATTATCCGTCACCTGGAATCATCAGGACATTTCTGTTTCATGGAATCAGCAGATGTCATTGTAAGCAACACATTTCTCATGAAAATGGCTGTTGGCAAACTTGGCTAACTTCAGTATTAGAAATTAAGGAGCAAATGGATGCTGGTGCTTTTTCTTGGGGCTGATACTTTGATCATGGCTTATTTTCCCCACTTTGTTGTGCACAGTGTTTTTGCAGTGTTGTTTGGTACCTTTTGTCTGAAAACTAAAAGCCTTTTCCTTCTGTTCTGTTCTCCTTCCTTACCTTCTCCTCACCTGTAGTTAATTTCCCAGGAAAGTGTATGTCCCATACTAGCTCCACATACACCTTCACCACCTGCAGGATTCTCCACCCCTCTGATCAGCTGACCTCAGTTTCCCCAAGGTAAACATCTTGTTTACTTTTTTATGACTGTTTGAAAATATCAATTGTCAGTAGTAATACTGTTTTGTTCTTGTGTGTACAGCTGATGTTTGAAAGTGTGGTGAACTACTATGAACACATGATGGCAGCCAGATGCATTATATCTTTGCAAAGTGTCATAATAAGAAGACAACACTGCTGTTAAATCTACTGTTAATAAGAAGATTTACTCAGAAAATGAAAGACTGACAGTAGTAATGGTTACTGGCAATGTTATTTAACTTGAAAAAAATCTCCACTGTTAAATCAAACAGCTGCTTCCCAGCCCCTCTGTCCCCCTCCTATTCGCCACAGCAACTGGCTTACGCACTCTATTTCCCTACTGTCTGATTGGCCTTGGCAGGTCATGTGATGAGGAAGATGAAGTGGAGTTGTATCATATGGTTGTCATGGCCGGAGTAGAGCAGACCCATTGAGTGCACCCATTGGGGTGCACATGGGTGAGGAAATGCATGGGAGTGCATTTGCAAAGTTTGTGGGTGTGTATAAAACAATAACATGAGGAATTTACTCTAACACTCCAGATAGTCACAGACTTGTGGACCTAAACAGATATTGCCTCTAATATTAACTCTCAACAACATGGTCCTAACTAACAACCCAACGTCTGACTCAATGCTTTGGCTCCGATCACTGATCAAATCTACCTTTGTAGAATACGGATGTTCATTCTTGGCCTTTGGAAACAGCATCTGGTGCAAACAAAGCAAAAATGTCCACCTCTAGCTTTCAAGCATATTTAATGGTCTTCATTCAGCTAATGCAGCTGCATCAGGTGTCATTACAAGACTTAAATTTGGTCCTTGGGCCAGGCGATAACAAGCAGTCCTGGGAGAGAGATTGTTGAAATGAGCCCTGTGTCATTTCAAGCCATTTAACACGTCAAGACTGGACCCTCCTGGAGAAGAAGACTGAAGTGGTGTATGGCATTTTTCGCGACAGTGGTGGGGAACACTACATCCATAAAAGTGTGAGAAAACAGCAGCTGTCTGAACACCAGACCAAAGCTAGTTCCAGCATCAGATGGAAGGGTGTCACTGGCCAGGAGACTATGGATAGCACGAGGAAGATCAAGAGGGCCATTCGAATCCAACGGCAAACCAAGTTAAAGGTCATGTTATGACACCTGAGGCAGCTGCATTAACTGAATGAAAACCATGAGATGAAGGTGAAAGCTCTGAAAGCTAGAAGTGAACTTTCTTTACACCCTACAGCTAGAGTAGAATAGTCAGAGGATCTAATAAATAACTTACTGTGTGTTAAGATGTCTAATGGGCTTCTTCGGTAACAGATTTGGTCGTATGGCTCTTAAGCAGATTTAGGGTCAAAACTAATTTGCTCACAGTTGCGAAAACAGGAGACACATTTCTTCATGGTTATGTGATGTTTTATCATGTAAACAGCATCTTTATAATTGTGGATGATTGTCACTGAAAGCCAAGTGTTAAGACTCGATAACTCATGTGCATCTGTGTCTTTCCCTGCTCCCATACTGTTTCTCATCTTCTTTGCACATCCAATGCCACTTCCCCCCTCCCATCACCCCCTTCTCTGTCCTCACTTCTCCATCTTCAGCCCAGCTATAGCCTCTTGTTACAGCAGTGCTTATGTGGGCACCCCTACCCCGGCTTCCTCTCCTATACCCTTCTCTGCCCCACATACACCTTCCTACACCCCCTGTTGCACTCCACGCCGCCTCTCCCTGTCTCTTTCCCTGGCTGAGTCCTCCACCAACCTTAGGGACTCCACCAAGACCACCAGCACCTCTCTAGGCCTGGTGCGCCTCCTGCTGGAGCGTGGGATCTCTGCATCAGTGTATAACCCCCGAAGCTGGGACCGAGGGTTGTTTTCCAGTGGAGCTTCAACACCCGAGGGGGGATGCGCGCAGGCGCAGAGGTGCACCGAAACACCAGGTGAGACTGATGTCACACGGTTGGGGAAACGCCCAGACACCCTTCTCCTCCAGCCCTCAACCCCACCCAACTCCCCTCGCTCCAAATCTGCCTCCTTTGCCATGACTGGCCCAGTCTTTCAGTTCAGCCCTACCGCTGATGACCCTCCATACTACGACACCTTCCTCGCCTCTAAACCAGCTCGCACCATTCTGAGGGAAGTGCTGGGGGAGGCAGAGAGGGAGCGAGGGGCTCAGGCAGATGATGACAGCCAAACAGAGATGCTGAACCTGCGACTTGTGGACAAACTGAAGAGTTTCCGCACCCTTTCCCCTCGGACTGCTTCAGTCTCATCTGGGAATGCTCTTTTACCCTCCTTTGGCTCCACTGGACTGGGGAACAGTGGTCTTGGTGGGGGGCTTCCAGGATTGAACGCAGGACTGAGGAGGAATCGAAGCTATCCTGCCATGGTGGGGGCCAGTATGGCTATGAAAGACCCAGGAGGTCCCCCCAGCACAGAGATACTTATACCACATACGATGCAAACCCCAAATACACAACACACAGTGCACACACAAGAAATGGGCAAAATACAAACAAATCACACACTGGTCGCAAAGCCCATACACATACCACAGACACTACATGCACTGGAAACAGTCACGCCACAGACAATAATACAGAGACACACCAGGCCAACAAGCAATGACCGACACAGTGATGATGAAACTGTGACATAAGTAGGAAATATTTAACAGCATACAAACTCACACATCTTACAGTACAATACTCTGACATGACTACATATGCACACACACACACATTTATTTACAAAACCAAATACCATATGTAACTATACAGACATCCTTCCACTATGGAGAGTCCCCAGACCGAATGATACAGTCCACCCACAGACTCAACTAAACAATAAGTCATCTTTCCTAACCAGTCCACCCTCCAACTGTTTTAACAAGCATCAGCCTGATCAACATAAACCCAATGAAATGGTGATGAATAAACCAGTAGTGGCTGAAACTGTTACACTGTGTTATACTCATAATGTCAGACTAATGATGGAGTACGTTGCCTTCCTGTGTCCATTGTAATAGTATATTGTGTATGCAATATACTGTGTCATACCCAGTATAATATTAAAGGCCCAATCGGGTTGAAGTACTGCAGAGTTTTCCTATGACCTGTTTTTAGTCTCCTTTTCCTCCTCAACCTGAATGAGTCCACTGAAAAAAGGCGGCAACATGAATTTAAAATGTACTGTACTGACCCGAATACAAGATTGTTTTTTTCTTGAGATTATTTATAAAGAAATGGGAGTTGTGTATTCGACGACTACACAATTACACATTCATTACAGCAGATGTGACTGTCACTTTATGAACATGCTGTATCAAGTCACGTGTGATTTGTAGCCTTAATGTCACTAGGCTAGCAGGTTTCTACTGTGAAATTGCAAAAGAAAAGTCTCCAGAAAACATTTTCCCTGTTGTTAACTATTGTAAATGACACATCCTTAAAAGTGCTAACAGGATGCACAACAAGGAATATGTTTTTAGTGTTTGGCTTTTGAACTATGGTACTATGGAACTATATGTGGTATTTGTAAAAGCTTTTTCATCCCAATGTTCAGCCTGTGATACAAGGAACAGAGACTAACGTCTAAGTCAACTCAAGCTAAGTGAAAAGTCTTCATCTAAAAATATTTTCATATTTTATTCGGGCCACTATGGTATTTTTAAGCCTTTTAATTGCACTGGAGTTAAATGGAAGTTATAATGTCACACTGGCATTAGCATTAGATATTATTTCTACCAGCAACTCATTCTTTCCTCTCTGTATGTGTGTAATATGTAGTTTCAAACAAAAAATCTAGATTGGGGCTTTAATGTGTCCTCTCGCTGTGACTGAATGTTCATATGTGCCTAAAAACAGCTAATACACTTTATCTCATTGGAGTATGGGTTTGCATTTGATTGATTTGATTAATCTTTTAATTTGCCTTTTTATTAGATGGTATGCTGTAAAGGGAGTAAATGAGGATAATTGTGCAAATTAAGTTATTAGCATCTGAACCTGCTGAGGAAGCCCCACACATGCTCATTTATGCCTCTGTCTGTTTTGGCCATTAATGAGTTTGGGTGAAGCATCCTGTTTGTTTTTAATCCACAGGAACACGTAGCACATAAACGGCAATACAGATCAGGTCCAGTTATACAGATACCTGGTGAAGCACCTCAACTTGTTCTGTTCAGATTTTCTCATTTTGATGCACCTCCAATCTTTCCATACTCATCAAGTCAGTGTAGAACACGTCTGAGGTGGATGTACATGGCATGACATGGGCACAAACAAAATGCAGATGGCAGCAGGAAGATCAGAAAGTAAAGTCTGCCACAGGCACTGCTGCACCCCGAGCTTTCAATCAAACCAAAGTGACACCCACATAAAAAGTGGGTGGAACCACAACAACAGAATAGAAATTTGTTTGCTTGTAAAACAGACATAGCAGATTCACTTTATTTCTGTGTTGCTGGTGTAAGCAGTTACCTGTATACACACTACCACCATATAATTTATTCTGTCAAAATCAAACAAGCATGTGGGTGAAAAAAATGTAAAGCAATATTAGGCATTAGAAGAGTTGTATATTTCTGAATGTAATTGTAAAAAGAGTGACTTGAAGTATCCAAATGTTGGTTTTAAGAACAAGAGACTGAGCTTTTATCACAGCTTGTTGCAGAAGGGATGTTTTTGGTCCAGTTCCAACGTCCAACTTCAGGAACACGCATTAAGCACTTTGCACACTTTGTAGAAAAGCTACTCGGCTATTTGAAAAGAGAGAAAGGAACACTAAATTGCATTAACCTATACATGAAATATGAACATCACACACACTTTACTGGCAACAGAAATCCCTTTGTGCAGGTGAAGTGATTTCACTTGTCCAATTCCTCATTCCTAGTACCCTCCTGTGCGTGGGCGCTCAGCTGATTATGAAGGTGTCGGTTTAAATCTGAAATTGGACTTTGGGACTGGGCCACTGAACACTTGTCTGACTGACTGATGAATGAAAGGACAAAATGGCTGGCTCGGACGCTGGCAGTGATCTGTTGGAATCCTTAATGATTAAGGGATTAAAATTGCTATGTTGTTTAGTGAGAGATTAATGATCATTAAATATATTTATTACATGCTTGGATTATTAGAGGCACACATATAACTGAATATCCATTGTATATGTTTAAGTGAAGGATTTAGCAGTTTTTATTTATATTTTGAACTGTCACTGAGATTTTGAATCATTTTTGATCAATTGGACAGTTTTATGTCATTTTGGTTTCATGATAAACATTTCTGTGGCACTTAGTAAAATGGCTTTGTAGAGATATTTCCATTTAAAACAGTGGGTACAGTTCGTTGTCTACAAGCTTACTTCATAACAGCTGTACATTTTGGAGAAAAAATGAGACAATTCACAGTATTTAATATTGATACCAAGTGCCAAGACTGATGCGACAAGGAGTTGGTGTGTGTTCATGTGTGTGCTTGTTTTTCTGTGTGTCACTTGAATCATCTGAATGTAAGTTATTTCAAACAGTAATCCTGCTGTAGGGCCATATATTTGTGTACAGTATGTTGATTTATCTTTATTAGTTTGTGTTTAACCTCAGAGGGGAAACTATTATTACATTGTAAATGTATGCAACACATATAGCCATGCTAACTTTATTTTTTTTAAATAAACTGTAACAGTAGAGAAAAAGATGGGGAATTAAGTTGTTTATTTTGAGTAAAGAGGGAAATAAACTTTTCTGTTCAGGGAGTGAAGTGTTCTATTCTACAGAACAGACTGTGCTGTCAATAAAACAAATAAATTCATAAACATTGACTTGTTTGCCTTATTCACCAAAGAATAATGTTTTTCCTTTGAGTCCAACTATAAGTCTTTAAATCAGCTTTGACAGGATGTTAAAGTTTTGCTGATTTTCTCTCTCTGCTTCATGCATGTAGATCATGTGTACTTTGAGGAGAGGTGTGTCTTGGTTATCAACCTTGAGGGGCCATTAAGTGTCCATACATCACTTTTAGTAAAAGGACTGACTAGGACATCTGCACCACATTAATAAGAATGATTTTCCTACATATGCCATATATAATATGGCAAATGCATGCACAAGCTCATGATAAATTATATACCATGATAAAAGCAAGCTGAAAGTTTATAAGTGAATTATTGACTCTGGACTATTGGAACTCTGTGCAGCTAGGCCAGACCTGAAGAGAGCCACTCACACCACACACCCTGAAAAAATGTGTAAGCTGCAGCAGTTCTGTAGTAAGAGTGGTCCAAAAGCTCTCTTGGACATTGTGCAGGTCTGATCAGCAGCTACTGGAAGAGCTTGTTTGAGGTTATTGGTGACAAAGAAGGTTTGACCATTTATTAAATCTGAGAGTTCACTTACTTTTTCCATCAACACTGTGAGTGTTTAATGGGTGTGTTCAGTAAAGACACAAAATATTATAATTGTTTTGTTTTTTTTTGTCTGTGTGTGTTGGTTTCTCCGTACTTGAGACTTAGATGAAGATCGGATTACATTTTATGTCCAGTTAATGCAGAAAATCAGGTAATTTCAAAGGGTTCACATACTTTGTTTTTGCTTTTTCCTACCACTGTATGTTCTACATGACCATAGTCACCACACTTAAATGTTTGGCCTTTTTTATTTACAGGAAATCCCTGCTCTCCTATTTTAAATTCATCATCCATTCTAATCTGTAGTGTTTACTTTTACTCTTAACGTTGTTGTTAATGGAAAGTCTCAATTCAAAAATCTGATATATTGGTGTGGTTATTAGTCCTTGTGAATGGCAAAGAGCCCTAGAGTGCACTGAGTAACTTCTCCAGCTTTAGCCATTCCAGTTACAGCTATATTCCACAGGGAGGCAGTGTGTCTCAGAGAACTGGGCTGACAGCTGGCGTAAACACAGGCTATGGCCAACTCTAAGCCTGGAAAAGAAAGTAAACCGGTCTTGACAGCTTAAGAAATGCACCCAGTGCTGGGCTACTAAACCCATATTTGCTCTTCCTGGCCTCAGAGTAGAGCCCAGCTGAACTCTCCCCTACAGCTTGACACAAAACTGCACTGACTGCAATACCAGTCTTTTTGGTATGTTATAAATTCATTTTAATGTTACAAAGGAAATTAGGTTACTGTTTCGCCGTTTGATATTGGAAACAGGCTTATAATTTGTTGTTATCTACTTGGTGTATCTTACTGCTTTTGCAAACCCAACGGAGATAGAAAATCTGAGTGTACATTAAAATCATGTACTAATGAGTAGATATTTATCATGATTATAACAAACCAGGCTTCAAAACCAGATGTTGTGAAAGGAGGGAGACAGAGAGAGATGACAGAGTGGCAACTTAGACGATTGAAAGTAAGACTGCTGCTCTCTATCAGAATAATAAATGAAGATAGGGGACAGATGGGATGGATGGTTGTGAAATGGTTTTTGATGGTTAGTGGAGGACTAGCAGGTGTGTGTGATCCCAGAGGGGAAATGAGAACATTGTGCAGAACTGAGTCAGCCAGGACAGAAAAGTAAAGAAATTGAAGAAGAATCAGATGATGGAGGAGGAAGAGGAAACTTCTTTCCCTGACATGTCTTGGTCAGATTAATACTGGTCAGTCCTTTGTATCTTGTCAGTCTCTTATATCTTGTCATCTGTGGTAATCAGATGGAACAAGAGGAACTTTACAGACGTTAAGATAAAAGCTGCACTGAGTCTAGGCAGTTTTGAGTGGATATCATAGAGAAAACACCAGCAAAACAAACCTTACAAGAGAGGAGGTTAACCGTCTCCTTGGAGTAAAAAAGAAAAAAAAGACAATTTGCATGCTTCAAAGCCAAGTATATTCAAGAGACTCTTGAACACAGAGTAATTAACTGCAGCTCGGAAGGAAGGTCCATTTCAGCAATGTGACGCGTGATCAAGTCCTCAAGAGGTGAAGCATGACAAGTTCCACAGCCAAAGTCCCTCAGCAATGATGAGCTGTTTAGTTTGTGTAATCAACCTAAATTCTGCCAGAAACCTCGAACATAGCCTTTAGAGACTGAATATGTACTTCTCTTTTGTAATCAAACTGTTAAATTCATATGTCAAACACCTGTTTGTGCTATTTCTGTGGAAAGCACAATATTATTATCTATTTTAATCTGTTATTTTGCCAAACAGACATAAGGAGGAAATCCAAGTGTGATGAGGCCTTGATGATGATGATGTGTGAGATTACTGAATCCAAAGACCTTGATGATACCCTGATTTTTCATCTACCACCACCATCAGATCACAGTTTTCACTTTTCATTTTGGATATCCCAGCATCTACCAGAGGCCTGTCTCTACCAATATTTAATGTCTGCATCTTAAGACTAATATGGTGAACATTACATTCATGGTATACATTATACTTGTTAAAATCAGCATTGTAAGCACGTTAGCATGTTGATGCACCAAATCAATCTCAGAGAGCTGTTGGCTGAATGTCACACTGTTTTTTGCTTAAACCAACCAAAACAGCTAAAAGCTAGAGAAAGTAGCATGTGTAGGGCACTGTACACTGTAATTGTGATATTTTGAACTTTCTTCCAATAAAACACAGCACTTGTTTAATTGTACTCGTCCACATCAAGTACATTGTAACTCTGTGTAAAGAGTAATTAATTTTACTTTGTTTGGATTTGTAGACTTGTTATTTCTGAATGGGCACTTCACACCTGCCATCTGTGTGTAGGCCTACACTAGGTTCCTTTTATTCTTGAACTGACTGTCTCTACAGTCACTCAACAAGCTTTCTATTTGCCTAATGCACACATTTCTGGAGAATTCATGTCACAGTTTATTGTATTTCTTTCTGTCTGGCGCCACTCCTCTCTGACGCTGGCTCAGAGCTATAAACCAAATTTTTTGCCTTTGGATATTCACTTGATCGATTCTCTTGGTCACTCTCTTTTTCTTTGTCACCCATCCACACACCAATCAGCTGTAGGGTTTAAAGTGATGCCATTAGAGGTTTTTCTAGTCTAGTGTAAACACATGAAACATTTGTTCTCTGGTCTGCAGAAAGTAATAAATCTGTGAAAGTGAACGTGTGAGATACACAGTGTTGTTTATACATAGAGGTAACTGTGTTACTGAGAGTGAATGTCAATATAGAACAGATTACTTGACATTATCATGTCGCACTTGGAAATTTATAAAAATACTGTCAACTGATGACATGGCCAAACTTAAGGAAACACCTTTACGCTAATATGGCCTTTAGCTGCTGGTTATTAAATGTTTACGTTTAATTAAAAGGCATTTATTCCATTTAAGTAACTGCTGAATGATAACATTTCAACATGGCCAACTTAAACTGTTGACTGTTGGCATAATCCTGACCGCAGCAGTCTGGCTTTGAGTCCAACCCGTGGCTCTGTGCGCCATATCATCCTCTCACTCTCTCCCTGTCTCTCTCTCTCTCTCTCTCTCTCTCTCTCTCTCTCTGCCTATTGGAAATAATGGAAAAACTAACTTAAAAAGAAAAAAAAATGATGAACCTGGCTGGGACATACTTGTTATCCCATGCTTTTAACTTCAAAAGTCACATTTGGTCTCAGCCAGGTTCATCACTCCCTAGTGTTCATGTGTTCTCAAATTGATGAAGATGTTTTCTGAATTTGCAGCGCATTTGTGTCTTTGCATGTGTGTTCTTAAGTTGCAGTGCGTTGAGCTCTCAGGGCCAGTGTAGATATATAAATAAAATTGATTTGACGTAAAGTGAAACAATCCTAAGGTCAGTGAGATCCAGATCTACACCAAATTGTACAAAGTAATAGATCTCAACAATATTTTTTACATCAAGATCCATACATTATTTCCTGAGAATTTGAGAGAAGTGTCAAAAAAAATCTGGCAATGGTACGGAAATTGATTAAAAAAAATTCCTGGATCTGCCCCTGCAACTGGAATGGTTCTTCCCTTATGCCCCATCCCTCCACCATGTTCGGTGCAAATCAGATCAGTACTTTTCACATAATCCTGTTGACAAACAAACCAACAAACAAACAGACACAGGTGGAAACATAACCTCCTTGGTGGAAGTAAAAAGGCAGAGTAACATGGTAATATGGTAATCTCTGCACAGCCTGACTGAATGTTTACCAGTGACTTTGGGTACTTTCAACTAAATACAGCATCTGACTCTGTGACAGCACAAAAGATAATCAAAAGTCAGGTCAGGCATTTCAGTCCATTGTAAACTATAATATGCTTTCACTTCTCCAGTACTATTACTGTGCTTTACTACAAGGTCCAACATCTTTCTTTTTAATAAACATAAAGAACATCTTCTCTAAAAAGTGCTTTGTTATTACTGAAATACAAATCTTCTTTCAAGATAATCAATCCTTGTTTGATCTCTGAATTTAATTTTCACCAAAATGATCAACATGCTCTAACATATGCAGTACACATGCAAGTTTGTGTAGACTCACTTCCTGCTGTCTCTTTCACCTTAAAATTGCCTGTTTGAGATGAGGGCCCTCCAGGCACTTGTCAAGTCATCAGCTGAGTGTGACACTCCTGCTGGTTCATCACCATCCTGTTTATATACAGACACTTCTAGGATGCTACCTGGCTGGTGCTATTCTGATCACTCAAATTACCATAAGGATTATGATAAAACATTTTTCACATCATGACACTACACAGTAAGGAGATACAGAATATTAATTCTTCACAGGTTATAGGCCATAAGAGTGTTGGTTACTGAGATGATTAATTGGAATACAATCATATAATTGGTTTGTA